CCCAGACATCTGCCATTGACCTTGTGGGCTGACTACAACACCTAGAAAGCCCTGGGTGCCAGCGTTGCTTGCAAGTCTAAAAGACCTTACAGGTGCTTAGAAGTCAAAAAGAGCTTGTTAGTGCTTCAAATTTGTAAAGCAGTTTCTTTTTAATAAAGCACACTATTTTATACACTGTGTTGTAACTTTTGGAACTGCCAATAAAGTCTATGTGTTCTCACCTCGTAGGTGAGGAAAGAAACACAGAGATGTTAGGTTGCTTGTCTGTGGTTATCAGGCTGGACTCTCAATGGAGATTTCCCGCCTGGGATGCCCAGGTATTGACTTTTGAAAGACCGTGAGGATGTGCCTGCCTTGAGGGAAGACTGGACTTAGCACTGGGAACTTGTTTGGGAGCAGTTTATCTCCATCTGGTGTTATGATCAGCTGTCAGAAATTTCACCAAGAACCTGTTCTGAATGGTTGTCTTCGGGGGAAGGAGCCTGCAGCTCCCTGAGACTCCCTGTATGTGCTGTGTCCCCTAGGTCCTGTGCCTCATCACTGCTCCTGTCACCATGATCCTTTCCAGCCAGCAGGATGCAGCCTTTGCCTTCGCCTCTCTCGCCATAGTTTTCTCCTCCTATATTACTCTGGTCGTGCTCTTTGTGCCCAAGGTGAGGTTCTGGCTTCTCCCACCTTCTCTAGTCCCGTGTTCCTTCTGTTTCTTCTTCTTGGGATTCTGCTCCCTTACCCTTCCCTGCCTCCTGCTTCTGCTCCTCTAGCTGTCTTGGGCCCAGTCTGTCTCTCTTATTTTCATTCCTTCTGACTCCAACCCCATATCAGCCGACCACTGACCATCCCTGATTGGCCTGCCCATGCCCAAACACTTGCCTCCAGATGCGCAGGTTGATCACCCGAGGGGAATGGCAGTCCGAGGCACAGGACACCATGAAGACAGGGTCGTCCACCAACAACAATGAGGAGGAGAAGTCACGGCTGTTGGAGAAGGAGAACCGTGAGCTGGAGAAGATCATTGCTGAGGTGTGTGGAGTGATGGCAGGTGTGGGATCTGAGCAGTCAGCTTAGCTCAAGCACAGCCGGCGGTTCAGGTTCTGGAACTTGTGAGTTAGAGAGAGAGGGTGTGTCCATCAGCTCTTTGTCACTCAGTGCGACACCTAAGGCAGCACCCCAGTGATCTCTTGAAGGTTCCACGGCACCTCCTAATAATGTCACTTTGTGGAGCACAGCTCCAGTCACCCAGACCACATCCCAGCCCTGGGACAGGGTCTGAGGAGAAAACCCAAAAAGGAGTGAGTGGGGCTGGATGGGGAAGGGTAAAGGGTTGAGCGGATTTTTGTCACAGAGAAGATCTAGTGTTGGGCTCATCAAGTGGAGGGGGTTGCATTGATGACAGCACCCCCTTGAGGCAGTTGAGGGGTGAAGGCTGTGCACCCCAGCAGCTGACACTCAGAATCCGATGTCAGGATCTGTCCATTGTGTTCCAGGCTTTAGTGGGGAGCCCATCAGTGTCAAAGAGGGGCGTATTCCTGCCGCGTTACCATCAGTCTGGGATTTATTGGAAGATTTGTGCACTGATTCTTCTCCCTTCCTCCACTTTATCCTTTTGTTTAAAACTTTTATTTCTTTGATCAAAAAAGGTCAAAATCTTCCATGTGCCCCTTGTCTTTTCTGACGTTCCTTGTTTTTTTTTCTTGATTCCTCATTTTGCTTTCTTTTGGAACCCTGTACCCCACCCATGATTCTGCGCTGTTCCTTTCTCTCCTCCCCACCCCTCATGACCTCTCCTCCAATGCTTGTGATTTTTTGTTTTCTTCCTCCAGAAAGAGGAACGAGTCTCTGAACTACGCCATCAACTCCAGTCTCGGCAACAGCTCCGCTCTCGGCGTCACCCCCCAACGCCTCCAGACCCATCTGGGGGCCTTCCCAGGGGCCCCCCTGAGCCCCCTGACCGGCTTAGCTGTGATGGGAGTCGAGTCCATTTGCTTTACAAGTGAGGGGGTATCAGGAAGGACCAGCCAGTAGGGGGAGGGGAAGGGTGTGGGAAGAGGGTGGGGGTCTGGGGAGGCAGCAGGGGAATCCCTATCCCCAGATGGGACAACATGCTATCCATTCCCATCTCTTGTAAATACACTTTCCTCTGTGAGTCCTGGGGTTATTTCGGTCTCGAATATTCTGGGCAACAGACTTTTTTTCTCTTGTTCATTTATATCATTCTATGTCACTACTTCATTTGGTTTGTACCTTGCTTGACGCTCCTCATTCACCACTCCTCAGCAGCCTCCCCAACCTCCTTCTCTTCTACTTCTGGCCTCCGTCTTGTTACCAAGCAACCCTTGCAGCCTCCTCTGTCTTTATGCTCTGCTCCTACCAACAGGGGTCTCCCCACAAGTGCCCTTTCCACCCCAACTGGGGCCTCTCCACCTCTCCATTGTTATCTCTTTCTATCCTATTACCCTTTCACATACTCCCTTTTACTCTTCCTTGAATTGTCCTTTTCTTGGGGACTCATTCTTCTAGCCAGGGCTCACATGATCCTATGCTGTGTTACGTGCTCATGCCTCCCAACATACGTGTGTCTTCCCTCTCCTGTTCTTCCCTTAATGCTGTGGTCATGGATGATTGCTTGCATACCTCGCACTCATAGCTGCGTGTGCTTGTCTGGTGGTCATGTGTGTGCCCTTGCATATATTTGGGTAGGCGTGTGCTATTGTCTGGAATGCTGAGTCAGTCATGTCTTCCCTACCTGCATGCATGTATGTTTATCCATGTATTTTTCCTGTGTGGCCTCAATGTACATTGGGTATCCCTTTCCCTTTGCCCCTTAAGGTCATTATTCTAACAAAGCGATACACAGCTACCCTGCACATTGTTATGCACTTTCCCCACTTCCTGTCTGGCAGGGTTGTCCATACCCTCTCCTCTGCACAGAGCCTGTTTCTGCTCACTCTTCCCCCTTCCCTTTGTGCTTATAGACCACCTCAGTCTACACTCACGGTCACCCTCTCCCAAGGTTACTCCCTTTTGCTTTGTGCTTTTGGGGGAGAATTAAGGGAAAAGATATAGGGAGAGGACAGGTTTGAGAAGCTGCTTCCGGTGGATACTTGGTGGAAATCCTAACCAAAGGAAGGCATCTCTGTTGGGATAGATAGATGGACCAATGGGGCGAAAGATGGCGTCCCTTTCGCACTGTGGTGTCTCTTGGGGAATGATTTCCCCAAATTTCAATAAACCAGTGAACAGTGTGACTCAAGACCTCACCCTCATTACTGTGAACAAGAGTGGGCCCAAGGAAAAAGGCTGAGAGGGGTCAAAATGAATGAAAGGGTGTTAAAACAGAGGTGCGGGAAGAGGTGTTTTGTTGATTCATTGCGCATTTCAGAGTAAGGCTGAGTTTAGTGAGTGGTAATGGTAACATGAGTTTAAAAGGGTTCTGGAATCAGACTACCAGGGAGTCAGAACCTACCGAATACAAAACGAGTTCCTTCAGACCTGCTTATCTGTGATGGCAGATGATACCAACCAAGGATTCCTCCGTCAGATGGATGCAAAGCCTGGATGAATTATGCATTAAGGTGCGGGGTCTATGCCTGTCCCATGGTATATGCTCAGTCATGCCTGTTGATTGAATTCCCTCAGTGTAGTGGGTGTGTCCAGAATGGTCCTTGGCTTAGGATGATTAAACTTAGGATTTTTCAACTTTATGATGATGTGAAAGCTGTGCACGTTCAGTAGAAACTGAATGGATTTTCATCTTCCCCTGGGCTTGCAGTGCTCTTGTGATGATGGGTTGTAGCCACCACAGCTCCTAGTCTGCCTCAGGGTCACAGGGGGAAGCACAATGCTGCCCTGTGTTGCTAAGCCAGGGTGTTTGGTGGGTAGATGTGTTATGATTAATATGAGAGGGTGTGATCCTACTTCAAGTCAAGGCGTATCTGTGTTAGGGTCTTGACCATATGGCTGAACAGACTTACGAATTCTCTTCCAGAAAGCAAGAACACCTAGAAGCTGATGATGAGAGAAGGTCCCAAGGAATCCTGAAGAATCCTTAGAAAGACTTATTATCAAAACAAAAAATTTGAATAGCCAAGAATTTGCTTGGGATGCATAATTAATTGCATCCTCCTTTTAAAAAAATATTTATTTTTATTGGAAAGGCAGATACATAAAGAGAAGGAGAAAAAGCTCTTCCGTACGCTGGTTCACACTCTAGCTGGAAGATTGGCTGGAAGTAAGCTGATCCTAAGTCAGGGTCAGGAGCTTCCTCTGGGGAGCATGCAGCTGCAGGGTCCCGAGGCCTTGGGCCATCCTCCACTGCTTTCCCAGGCCACAGCAGGGAACTGGATAGGAAGTGGAGCAGCTGGAACAGGAACCCATATGGGATCCTGGCCAATGCAAGGTGAGGACTTCAGCCATGAGGCCATTGCGCCACACCCGTGTTGTGCTTTTTTAAAGCTTCAGCTTTTATATATTGACATTGCTTTTTAAGTGATTTTTTAAAAAAACGCTACTATAAAATGTGGCTGGTGTCTTTTTTAAAGTTTTTTTTTTTTTTAAAGGCAGAGTTACAGAAAGAGAAGGAGAGAAAGGAGAAAGAGAGAAATACCATCTACTGGTTCATTTCCCAAATGGCTGCAGTGAGCAGAGGTGGGCAGGTTCAGAGTTGGAAGTCAGGAGCTTCTGGGTCTCCCACATGGGTAGGGGACCCAAGCATTTGGGCCATCTCCTGCTGATGTATGAGCCTGTTGCTAGAGCTGGATTGGAAGTGGAACAGCTGTGACTTGAACTGGTATCTGTATGGGATGCTGGTGCTGCAGGATGAGGCTTAGTCTGCTACGCCATGATTCTGTCCTCTACAGTGATTCTGCTTTTATTATTATTGTTGTTATTTTTTGTAAAATAGCTATAAGAGTTAGATGGATCGTCTTATTTATTGTCCTGTTCAAGAACCAATATGTAGGGTTAGTGCCGTGGTGTTTCAGCTTAAGCCTAAGCCTGTGGTGCCAACATTCCATATGAGTACCAGTTCAGGTCCAAGCTGTTCTACTTCTGATCCATGCCTCCTTGCTTGTGGCTTGGGAAAACAGTAAAGTGTGGCCCTAAGACTTGAAACCCTGCACCCACGTGGGAGACCTGGAAGAAAGCTCTTGGCTCCTGGATTCAGACCACCCCAGCTCCAGCTGTTGCGGCCGTTTGATGAGTAAATCAGTGGAGAGGAGACCTCTTTCCATTTCTCTGTGAATCTACCTTTCAAATAAAATAAAAATTTTTTGAAAGAAACAGTTTCTGAATTTATGGGAGAGCATAGGTAGGTTAAATTTCAGGGTAGTACTTGGAAAACATTCCACTGTGATTATCTACCTTGGGCCATTTGGAATTGATTTGGGTTTCCCTTCTTCTCACAGGAGAATACTGTCAAAGGGACAGGCAGAAGCCTAGGAGTCGATGAGCCTGCTGTGTGGAAAATGAGCAGTTGGCTTCAGGAACAGCAGCAAGAGCTAGAGATCAGCCTTGGGCAGAATCTGAGAGATGTAAATTGCTAGCTGCAACTTGCATCACACGTAGGTGGGATGTAAACTAGAAATCAAGGCTTGCAAGTTCTGCTGTGGCCAAGGTGAACCAGACACTCTTTGCTAGCAGGAGTGCAGGAACCAAGCCAAATGGTAGGGCTAGCGGAGGTGCCAAGGGCTCTGGATGCGGATGTCCCGCCAGGCGATGAGGCCACCACACAGCAGTGCTGGGGAGAGCTGCTGTCCCACACCTCCAGGCAGGCCTTGCGCTTCCAGTCCCATCTCCTTTGAGCAGGAGTTCATCCTCAGCTGTCATATCTCTTTCTGACATGGAAGCACCCTGGATTGTAGACTGCCTGCCAGCCCTTGGCACACCCTGCTTTCCCCACCTTGGCCTCTACTTCCCTGCTTGAGGACCTGTTGCTTACAAATAGGGAATTTTGTGAGTACTTTGCATCTGTGTACATTTTGCTGTTTTGAATCTGTCAGAGTTACTCTTCCAGGCACTTGGGCATGCCAGAGAGCCACATGGCTATCTTAAGACAAGGAAATAATCCAAAAGTAGTGGACAAGTAAGACGACCTAGGACAGCCACCGTGCATGGGACTGTGTGCATCTTACAGTCACTGGGCCTGGAATCCAGGGGTGTGACTATGGGTATCTCACACCTGTCACTTTAAGCTGTGACTTCTCTCACAGGCTTTGATGGTTTTAGGCCCTCTCGGACAGGCAACGTTTCATTTATTCAAACTTTTGCAATTCTTTTTGAAAAGTTTTATTTATGTATTTGAAACATGGAGCAACAGAGATGGGCAGGGACAGAGAAATTTTCTATCCAATGGTCCACACCCCAAATACCTGGAAAAGCTGCAGGTCTCCCATGTGGGTAGCAGGGATCCAGGTACTTGAGCTGTCATCTGTGGCCTCACAAGGTGTGCACTAGCAGGAAGTATGATGGTAGGCAGAGCGAGGACTCAAACCCAGGCGCTCTGCTCGGGGTTGGAGACATTAGCAGTGGTGTCCTTACCGCTGTTGTTGAACATTGGGCTTCTTCTCATTGTCAGTCATTCACCTGTGCGTTATCACAAGCTGGACTTCATGTCAAGTGACAGCTTCCCCTTGAACAGGGGTGACATTCAAAACACTTAGCACTCAGTGTGAATTCTATGTATGCAGTTCCTGGAGCAAGAAAGGTGAGCCCTAGCACTGGGGCGGCCATGCTGGGTCAAGGGCATATGGGTTGACACCGCAGGGCTCTTTTGGGTAACAGAGCTGGAAAGTCAGGACAGATGGGAAGTACCAGGCATGTGGCAAGCCCAGGGTGTCCTTCGGGTATGTGCAGAGAGGTGCAGTCGGGGGGAGGTGGGGGAGAATCTTTCTTCTACCTCGGCTCCTACAGAAGAGGCCCTGTGGGGCCCAGTGCAATGCCTACTTGGCTCATCCTCTCCTTCAAGTGCTGGGATCTCATATAAGCATTCTACTTCCCATCGCTTCCGGCTTGTAGCCTGGAAAGGTAGTGGAGCATGACCCAAAGCCAAGGGACCCGACC